CACCCGGATCTGGAGTCACAATTCACGAGCATTCTAGAATTTACTACAGGTAATAGTCTGAAAGAAATACAACCGTCTGAATGAAAGAAACAGTGGAATAGAAAAGATAGACGGGAACTTCAAGGTCTGTGAACGCCGATAGATCTACCTTGAGTCTCCGGTCATCAGTCCAATAGCAAAATCTCGATCATCCCGAGCCGATATCAAAATCTGCATAGAAAGTGCAGAGTGCAGTATTAGTATAACCGACCCCATGTACTGGTAAGTGTCGAGCCTAACCTCGACGAAGTAGTGACGAGGCTAAGGTAAGGCACCTACAAATCGACCTATACAATTTAACAGTGTATATACAAATAACAGAAATGAAGAACTAAACAGGAAATGTCGGGAGGAAAACATACTGAGGGGAATAAATGATAAAGAACTATAACAGAATAATCACCGGAGCAGTCAATATACCATGAATCAACATGAATAGTGAATACAGTAAGGAAAAATGCACGGCATCACCCTTCGTGCTTTTACTCTCAATCTCACCATAAAATTAATAGAAACGGCTCGGCATCACCCTTCGTGCATTAACTCTCATATCATGGCACGGCATCACCTTTCGTGCATTAACACTCACAATATGGCACGGCATCACCCTTCGTGCATTAACACTCACAATATGGCACAACATCACCCTTCGTGCATTAGCACTCTCCCTTACCATAATGCAATACATAAATAACAACAAAGAGATAGAACAACAAGTACAAACCTTACTTAAACATTTAGTTCCATAATATCAATCTCAATTTTGAAACAAAAACTAAATTATCACCAAAAAATCCGTAAACATGATAAGAACGACAAATTGAACAACACTAGTTATAACACGTAGCAATTAGGTATAGGAGTGAGACAATATAAGAAAAACAGAGAAATATGGAAAACAGGTAAATTGGCGGCGCATAAGTACTCATCACCTCACATATACGCCGCTCACATGAATTTAACTTAGCAAGTAATCTAAGGTTCCTAATTCCCACAAGTCAGGGTTAGACACAACACTTACCTCGCTCCGAAGGCCACTTAATTCTTAATCACAACTTTTCCTCTGGAATTCACCTCCAAACTACTCGTATCTATTCAAAACTGACTCAATAATAACAAATATTGCTAAAGAAATTAATTATATTGCATAAATTAAATTTCTCAAATTTTCCTCCAAAAAGTCGAAAAATCGATCCCGGACCCGCTTGGTCAAAATCCGAGGTTCGGACCAAAATTCATTTACCCATTCATCCCCGAGCCCGAATATATAATTGGTTTTGGAATCCGACCTCCAATTGAGGTCTAAATTGCCGAAATCCCTAGTTTCTATCCTAATCCCTAATTCTACCATGAAAACTCTAGATTTTTGGTTGAAACTTCAAGAAATGTAATGGGTAATTAAAAGAAAATGGTTTAGAATCACTTACCAACACTTTGGGGAAGAAATGACTCTTGAAAAATCGCCTCACACCGTTTGGTTTTTGAGAAAATGAATTTTGGCTAAATCCCGTGTTTGGATTCTGTTAAGTACTGGGCGACAGTGTTCATCACGTTCGTGAGAGCACTGTCGCATTCGCGAAGAGTATAGGCTGCCAAGCTTTCGCGTTCGCGAGACAGTGCTCGCGTTCGCGTAAGCTACCCTTCCCTGATCTTCGCGTTCGCGAGACAGTGTTCGCGTCCGCGATGAAGAAAAGGCTGACTCCCCCTCCCCAGTGCCTAACACTACGCGTTCGCGAAGGGTAACGCCCCCATCGCTTCACGTTCGCGACTAAGCCTTCGCGTTCGCGAAGAAAAAATCCCAGCCTTATCAGTTTACTCTTCGCGTTCGCGAGAGGACCTTCGCGAACGTGAAGAAGGACATGCCAGAACCCAGACTCTACAGAAAAGACCAGATTTCCAAAGTCCAAAACATCCCGTGGCCTATCCGAAACTCACCCGAGCCCTCGGGGCTCCAAACCAAACATGCACACAAGTCTAAAAAAATCATACGGACTTGCTCGAGCGATTAAATCACCAAAATAATACCTAGAACTCTAAATTTAGCACCAAATCAAATAGAATTCTCAAGAACACTGTAAAGTTACTATTTTCTCAACCGAAGGTCCGAATCACGTCAAATCAACTTCGTTTCTCACCAATTTTACAGACAAGTCTTAAATATCATAATGAACCTGTACCGGACTCCGGAACCAAAATACGGACCCGATACTAACAATGCCAAATATCAATCGATTCTTAAAAATAAATAATTTTCAGACTTTTAATTTTTATCAAAAATTCATAACTTGAGCTAGGGACCTCCGAATTATATTCCGGGCATACGCTCAGGTCCCATAATTCGATATGGACCCACTGGGACCGTTAAAATACGGATTTGGACCCGTTTACCAAAAATATTGATCGAAGTGAACTAAAATCAACTTTTAAGGTATAAATTCTTATTTTCAACATAAAAGCTTTCCAGAAACCTGTCCGGACTGCGCACGCAAATTGAGGAGGGTGAAAATGAGATTTTTAAGTCTTAAGAGCGCATATTCGAGTTCTAAAACATAAGATGACCTTTTGGGTTAACACATGATAGCCCATTCAACCACGAGTCTAGCCATACCAATTTTACCAAAATCCGACCTCAACTCGACCCTCAAATCTTCAAACTCTGAAAATACTACAATGCTCCAATTGATTAAAATGTCCAAATATCACCCATAATTCAATACCTACCATTAGATATCCCAACTACATCAAAATAAATACGAAAAGATTCATAAATATTCATTTAGGCTTCATAATTTGCAACAAGCCTTCAACCATTCCAAATTATCCAGTAGGCTCATCTATTAGCCTATTCAATTACATTCTTATCATTTAATACTCATTTGGAGTCATTAATAATATTATTTTAATTATCCAACATCATTAAGTCACTATTCATTAACTTCTCCAACAAAACCTTATGTTCAAGAATACCCATTTCAAGAACTAGTGTTATATCTTGTCAAAATGGTGATTCCCTATTCAATTCGTTCATCAATTAAGTTATCAAGTCTATTGGAATCATTAAAAACTCAAAATAATTTTTTTTATATCAATTAATCACTATTCATCTTCTTCTTTGCCCAAAATATCATTTTCAAGACCCTCCCTTAGGGTTCATACAATATCCCATTACAACTTCAAATAAAACTCATAAACATGCTACTCATACTCCAATATGACATATATATGAAGCTCAAGTGAAGGGATTACCTCTTGGTGGAAGAATCTAACTTTTTCTCTTTTTGGTGTTCTTGAAGATTCAACCCATTTTCTATGGATTTGATCCATAATAATGTTAGTATTATCACTAAATGATGTTATATAATCATCCTTGTACCAAAATAGCTTACCTTGAAGTGTATCCATGGTGGAAGAGCTCCTCCTTCTCTCTAGAAATCCATTCCAAGATGAAGAACTAACCCATTCTCTCACTAAACCCACGTTTTCAGCTCTTAAAATGACCTTTGAAGCTACTGGATTTGCCTACGCAATGTTGCGTAGGCTACGCAAGACTCGCGTAGCTGTTCTGCCACCCTTTAGTAAAAATGCCATAACTTCTTGTAGGAATCTCCAAATAACAAACGATTTGAAGCATTAGAAACTAGACACATAGACCTTTCTTTTGATAGTATACACCATATAACTCTTCCTATCATGAGAGTTATGCTCGTTTGAAGTTAGGTCTTGTGCGAACTCACTAGAAACTTTATCCCATCATATAATTTTCAACTTGACTTAGCCTTAGAGCTTTTTTTAGACCATAAACCATTCTTAATGTACCTCATACATATATTATCATTATCAATTGATATCATTCAAATTATCAGTCTTGTTCATACCCAAATTAATATAATTAGCACCCGCCAATCTCCTTAATGGTCTTAAAACTCTTCGAATTTTTTCGGAGTGTTACACCTTGTAAATCTATTCCCCATCATTACATAAAAAATGAGCAAGTCTGTGTAACCTCTATTTATGATATCCAAGAACATTGAGGGCACAAATTTACGTTACAAAATCCCATAATGTCAAATTGATTTCTCTTTTCAATCAAAACTCGTTAAATTTATTAGTTATGCAGGAGTATCATCTCTGGTTTCTTGATGCAAATATGTAAAAGATCAGTTTTCTCTATATTGCACTGAATCAACTAAATAAAAAATGATAGTCAAATTAGAACACAAAAAACAAATTCGAGAAATGAGAGAAATTATCTAAGTGAAATGACAACTTGAAGCCAGTGATAGAAGATTTCCTATTGAAGCCAGTGAAGATTTTAGTGGTGAAAGTGCTGGTAGTTGTGGGAATATGATAGAATCAGAGGATTGGGTGAGCAGAGAAGAAGACATAGGTGGGGGTAATTGAAAAGATAGTTTCTTTTTTTCTCTCAGAATATATTATAAATTATTTGGGAACAAATGCCACATGTCATCGTTTAATTTGTTGTTTGCCACATAAGCCGGGTGTGAATTACACACTCTTCGTATTTTTGACTGGTCAGCGTTTTGTGTTTAAGTGGCACATGAGAAAATGAGTTAGAAGTGTCAAAATAAAATGTGGAGCCAACTTTAATGGGTCGCTTACGGGTTTGGCCAATAAAACAAGAGAGTCTTGATCTAATTCCCCAACCATAAGCACTAGATTACTAAAGTTTCAACTATATTTACCATATTTTTGAGATTTTTAAGGTCAATGGCAAATTGCTTTAGTGGTCTTTAATTAGGCTCTTCACTGTAAGACAAAAAGAAAATGTATTAAGAGAAGAACAAAAAAGAAATAAGATAAACCACTAAATTTAAACCAATTATCTCAAACAAATGGTTGACATAAAAGCTGGTTTGAAAATTTTAATGGTGTCAAATTCTTCTTTATGACACTATAAAAAGCGTCAAACAATCAGTTACCTTTTAAAACACAATAAATTATCCAAAAGATATTTATAGAAACAGAAGAAAGATCTTATAATAAACAAGATGTATTTGAACTTCAAATTACCATTTGCATTTGCACTTGTATTTCTAGTGTACACAGGAGAATCTCAACCTGCAGTTTTTGATGTGACTAAATTTGGTGCAAAGCCTGATAGCAATGAAGATATTAGCAAGGTAAATCAACCATTTTACCTCTATCCATTTATCTCAAATAATACAGCTGGTGGATATATGTAGTTTCAACGGTGAATTCAGAATTTAGAATCATTAGGATGTGCTCATTATATATCCGAGCTAGAAATAGTGAATCGCCCGGTTTAAATTCGCTACGACATTGTTTTTTGCTAGTAACATTTACGTTGCTCGTACTCTTCAAAATGTCTCTGTGTGACCTATAAGCCACAAATTCGAGTCATGGAAGAAGCCACTAATGCTTGCATGAGAGTGGCTGTCTACACCACATTCCTTCGGGTGTGGCTCTTCCCTGGACCCTGCGTGAACGCGGGATGCCTTGTGCATCGGGCTGCCCTTTTTGTACTCTTCAGAATGGCGTTGGGTGCGTGTCGAATCCTTCAAAAGTAGTGCATTTTTGAGGATCCAATATATGTATGGAGTATTTTTGGAGTGTCCGAACAACATAGCATGGAATATAGTACGTTAAACTTTACTATTCTTGGTTGCATGTGGTCAAAGCTACTAATTACTCATTTACGTTTCATTTTTTTTTGGTGGTGTGTAAAACAATTATAGGCTCTATTAAGTGCATTTAAGGAGGCATGCAATTCAAAAATCCCAAGTAAAGTTGTGATCCCAAAAGGCATATATTTGATGAATCAAGTGAGGCTAGAAGGTAATTGCAAAGCCCCTATAGAACTTCAAATTCAAGTCACTTTGAAAGCTCCTCCAAATCCAAGCCAACTCAAGAAAGATATGGAATGGTTAACTATTAATCATATTGATCATTTCACACTATCTGGTGGTGGAATTTTTGATGGCCAAGGAGAACAAGGTTGGGCACAAAATGACTGTAAAAATTCAGAAAGTTGCGGTAAACTTCTGAATGTAAGTCATATTCTGTCAACCTTTTCTCGGCCTGTTTTATATGACAGAAATCATTATTTGAAAAATATACGTATTTTTTAAGAAAAAGTCATTTTTTTGGTGGTAAAATGACTTTTCTTACTTTGAGCGGAAGTCATTTTTCTTTCAACTATCTTAACTTTTAATTTCATATTATTTATTTCCTCCAACTAATGTCTAGCTAAATATTATTATTTTTATTATTATTAATATTTTTTATCAGCAATATACTCATCAGATTTGTTAATATTACGCTTAATCATTTATAAATATTGTCGAAAAATATTTCTAACTCATCGACCAAACAAGACCAGAAAGCAATTTATAGAGAAACTATTTGTCATGTTTTCTGAAAATCGATTTGACTTCCGTCATACCAAATACACTTGAAAGCCTGAGTTTATGAATTTAAGTTTAGACTTTTCAACCGAGTCCATCTTTCATCAATTTTTCTTTTTTTGGGTGTGCAGAATTTGAGCTTCAACTTTCTGACAAATTCCATAATCAGAGACATAACTTCATTGGACAGCAAATTATTCCATATTAATGTGTTAGGGTGCAAGAACTTAACCTTCATTGGAGTTAACATAAAACCTCCAGCACAAAGCCTAAACACAGATGGTATCCATGTTGCAAGATCAAGAGGTGTAAACATCACAAATTCACAAATTGGCACAGGAGATGATTGCATATCAATTGGTGATGGAGTTCAACAAATGTACATAACAAATGTGACATGTGGACCTGGCCATGGAATTAGTGTTGGTAGCCTAGGAAAAACTCCAGGGGAATTGCCTGTGGTTGGAGTTTTTGTGCAAAATTGCACATTTATTGACACTGACAATGGTGTAAGGGTGAAGACATGGCCAGCTTCACATAATGGTGTTGTTAGAGATTTGCACTATGAGGATATTATTGTGCAAAATGTTAGCAATCCTGTTGTCATTGATCAACTCTATTGCCCTTATAATCAGTGCAAGAAAGATGTAAGTACCTTATCTTTAACTACGCTATTTCAGCCTAACGCAATCTTCCTCCTTATTACTCGGAGTTATGATCGACTATACTTTACACATAAGCATAGTCAATAACTATAAAAAAATCAGTAGCCGAGACACCCTTTTGTGGTGGTGGTGGTGGGGGGTCATCCTCGTGGCGGAGGCAGGATTTTTACTAAGGGGGTTCAAAAAAGAAAAAGAATTAAAAATTTAATGAGATTGTAGTTAGTGGAATTGAACCAATGACCTCAAAAAGATTTTGGACCCACATGGCCACTAAGTTATGCTTTTGGTTATATTAATGGAATTCAAAACATAATATATAGATATAAAAAATAGATTTTAACTTATATATAGTGTGTAATTTTTCGGCAACTTCCACCCCCTAAATCCGCCCTTGATCACCCCACCCATTTCGCATAAGATTTTTCTTATATAGTACTATATAATAGACTGACACTGTTTGAAATTAAATATATATTAGAACAAGAAAAACCTTGAAATCAACTGGACGTACGTCAGACCAAAACTTAATTACAACTTGGAATTGTGACAATAGATTGATGTCCTTTACATGAAATCTTGCGTACGTCACTGTTAGTTAAATGCACCTTATATTTTAATTGATTTAATTTGCAGTTGCCATCACAAGTGAAGATTAGCAAAGTGAGTTTCAAGAACATACGAGGAACATCAAGAACTCAAGATGCTATACAAATTAACTGCAGTAAAGGTGTGCCATGTGAAGGTGTAGAAGTTGGAGATATTGACATAACCTATAAGGGAAATGAAGGGCCAGCCAAGTCTAGTTGCCAGAATGTTGACCCAAGTTTTGTAGGCAAGCAGAATCCACCAGTCTGCACTAGTTCTGCAGAGTCTTCTTGAAGTTCTTTATGCGTAAAAAAGACCGTCCGATGCACAAAATATGTGAACGCAAGGTTATGGTAAGAGTCACACCCCAAAGGGATATAATGTTGGCAGTCTACTCTGACGCAAGCATCAGTTGAAGTTTTTTGTGTATTTTTTTTTTTTTTTTTTTTTTTTTTTTTTTTTTTGTAATTCAGTCTTTTTTTTTCTTCCATTATTGGGATCCCGCTTAATCCGGATCGTCTAGAGTGAGACCCATTAAAAGAAAAAACGCTCCCTACTAATAATTTTTTTTTTTTATTCATAGAACTCGAGCCCAAAACCTTTTATTAAAGGTAAGAGTAATTCAGTCTTCTTGAGCTTTGATATAAAGCTCCCAGAAATTTGTCCCCATATCATTTGGGATTTTCCTTAGCTAGTAGTATTGGAGTTGTCTGTTAGGTAAGATGTAGACCGAGGAAATTGTACAGTGTTGAGAAATTACCAAGCTGTACACTTGAATTAGAAAAATAAATCACCTTTATAGTATGAGATTTTATCAGATATGCATTGATTGGATTATGTTTGATTTTTGGACATTCTTTTTATTTAATCATATGGTATCCGAATTCCGAAGGTGTCCGACTAATTTAAATTTGGATAAGCTAATAGGAGAAGATTGTTTCCTACTAAAAAGTTTTCTATTCTTATAATTTAAAGCCGAAATCTCTAATTAAGGGTAAAGAGTAATCTTTCACGCCCCATTTTTTTTAAAGAAAAAGAAGAAGATAAAATCGTGGCTAAATTAGATTTGATGTTTCTTCCAAAGTCTATCAATAATATATCCACATGATTCTCACTTGAACAGTATGATAAGAACTTTCTGTCCTTTTGTGAAATATTCGTTCTGATTTTCAGAATGTGATAAATTATTAGACAAAATAAAAGGAAGAAGATTGTCATTGGTTTTGGTGAATTTGCGTTTATTAGCGAAAGTATGACAATATATAGTCATCATATATTGTGAAGAAATTTATTAAATTCGTTGATTAAGATCTTTATATTTTACAAGTTACCAAACGTGTGTTTTATATTCGTTTGTTTCATAAGTACGTGAAATATGTTTTTTTTTTTTTTGAAAATCTTTTAATTTTTGCAGAGACAGAAAAAAATTTCGGAAAACTTTTTCAACTATAATGTTATAGAGAAAAAAGTTCTTTAGTTTATAGAAACTGAAAAACATTAAGTGAAATCATGGCTAGGACACCCGAATATCTTTTTTTCAACTTCACAAAAATAATACTCTACTACTCTAGTCCTACTTCCTCCATTCCCTTTTGTCGCGTTTAGCTACTTGATAGTCAATTTGACTAATTTTTAAAAATTAAATTGAATTAAATTATCTTAATATTTAAAAATTAAAATATAAATGTTTGAAAACTATACGAAAAACACTACCCCTATTTATTATATTATATCATAATATTGATTAAAGTTCAATATAGTTTAACTCTCTGAGTTGTCAGACATGACAACTAAATGATAGCGAAAAGAGTACATTGGTAGTGGACAATGCAAAGTTTGGTGTTATTGTTTGAAAATTTGGAGTTTTTGAGTTTACAAATTCAATTTTTGAGTTTTTGCAATAATTTTCGTTGAGCTATATTTTGGAAAATAAAGTTACAATTTAAATATAAAAAATCAATCTCAAATTCTCAAAATTTTAAAAAATTTATAAACTCCAAAAAAAAAAAAATGGTTTAGAATATCAATGAGAATAAATGTGCCAAGAACGAGAATTAAGGAGGGGTAGTTAGTGCTATTAAATACAAATGGCAATTTGATTCTGACTGTATATTCAGTCCACGTATGCAAGCTTTTAATATTTGTTTACCTTTCTCACGTTTCTCTTATTTGGTTATGTTTCCAATGCAAACGCTAACANCGATCTACCCTCCCCGCTTCCTACTGCATCATTTTTTTTTGGTCCTAATTTATGTGATAATATTTACTTTATATTTAATATAAAGTATATAATTTTAAAATTTATAGTCTAAAATAATATTTAAATATTACTACTACCATAAAATTATTTTATTAAGAAAAGAAGTGGCAACCCGGTGCATAGTCTAACCTAAGGCCGGGAGAAATACAAAAATAGTCAAATTTACAAGTGGTCATTCAAAAATAGCCACAACTTCAAAAGTCATCGAAATTTTACCATTTTTCATGTAAAGATAAATTTGAACGAAAACACTGTTCAAAATCTGAAAAATACTCCGGCATAACATACTAGAATTCCAGTATATTATACTGGAGCCACCACTACTAGAAATTCGGCAAAAACCGACCAAGGTCGATCGACCAACTTTGGTCGGTCAAAAAATCGACCAAAGTTGGTCGGTTTTTCAAAATATTTTTTTTTTAATTTTTTTTTACGAAACCGACCAACTTTGGTCGGTTTTCTTTGGCGCAAAATACGGGAAACTATTTTTGAGTCCCGCGAAATTTATTTTTCAAGAAACCGATCAACTTTGGTCGGTTTTTCAATTAAAATAAATAAAAATTAATATAAAAAAACCGACCAACTTTGGTCGGTTATTTTCGTGCGAAAATACAATTAAAGAGTATAAATCAAATAAAAGACCGTCTTAAAACAAAATGCACCAATGGTCTAGTGGTAGAATAGTATCCTGCCACAGTTCAGACCCTGGTTCGATTCCCAGATGGTAAATCTTTTGATTACATAATTAAAATACCGATCAACTTTGGTCGATTTTTTTTTTTGCAATATTTTTTTTTTGAATTAATTGACCGACCAAAGTTGGTCGGTAATTTCTGACCAACTTTGGTCGGTATTCCTTTCCGACCCCTAAAATACCGTCCACACATAAATGGTCGCGTTTTGGTCGGTTATTGACCATTACCGACCAACTTTGGTCGGTTTTTACTGAATTTCTAGTAGTGCAGCAAAGTATATCGGTCTAGCATAATATGGTGGAAGTTCATACACAAGTGCACCGAACTCCAGTATATTATGGTAGACCGGTCTGTGTTGCAGCAAAATAGTGGCTATTTTTCAATGACTTGACAAACGCCGGCTATTTTTCAATGATCAGTCCGAAAACTGGCTAGTCCGTGCTATTTTAACAATGCAAACATTAGTGACTAGTTTTACGGCTCAAATCCGTAACTTATATGTCACACCAAAATAACTTTACCGTTGCCCCAAAGCTCCCCTTCAATTTTAAAATAAATTTTACGAAGACATTGAAAACTTTAAAATTACTTTTTTCCTAAATATATGAAGATATTTTTTTTTGTCAGACTAAAAATGGAAATTTTAATTTAAATTAGGACTGACGGGATAAAATAAAACACGTGGTGGGGTGGATGGGGTGAAGACAGTGGACAAACCAAAAATCCAAAAAACAGAATTATCTTCTTGATCAAAAGGAAAAAGGAATTTTCTGCTGAGTTTCTCTAGTTTGAGTTGTTGGGTTCATTCTTCAATCTGGTTAGTCCCTTCCATCACCTCAGTATCTTCCCTTTTTTTGTGTTTTTTTCTTTTTGGTGTTCCATTGCTATGATTAGTTTGTACTGTTACAATTTTGTGCATATAGGTACCAAGAAAAGAAAAGGGTATCATTATATCATCAAATTTATTTGAAAAATCTTAACTTTCCAGTAAATAATTATTATTAATGATGTTTAAAACTCGAGAGGAAGATACTTTATATAGAAAACAAGGATTAGTTAGAGAATTATGTAAGATAAGTTAAGTTTTGAAGAATATTACTATTCTCTGTTAAATAGTAGTTGAACTATGAAGAGTGCTGGATACAGCAAAATTATAGATCCATATACTTGACTATAACTAAATTGGGATTGAGGGATAATTTAATGATTCTTTGATTAGTTTGTATTTGTATACTCTTCAGAAATATTATTTGAACTTAAATGATGAACCCTTTGGCTAAACAAATCTTCTAGTTCAAGTTCATGTTTTGTGTACGATTATCCGTTTCTCTCCTACAAAGATTTGAGCTTTTTGGTTATGCATAAACTTTTTGAGTCGAGGGTCTTTTGGAAACAAACTCTCTACTTTCACAAGGTAGTGGTAAGGTCTGGTACACACTACTCTCCCAGACCCCACTTGTGGGATTACACTGGATTTGTTGTTGTTGTTTTAATTGGTAATGCATAAACTTGGTCAGAAAGATTTTCCTCTTTACACTATTTTTACATTTTCTTGGGGTCCTATGGATTTTGGTTCTTTGATGAAAGTTTGTTTCTTTTTAGTTTCTGAAATGAGATTCTGTTGTTCTTTATGGTTTGTAATTAACTCCTTATCAAAATGGTTTGTGACTAGTTCCTGGCTTTTCTTGTATTCTTATCTTGGTGTCTGTTGATAACTTAGAAGTGTACATATGGGGTCGTTGGTTCTATTGTTATCTATATTAGTACCATTTTAGAATCCCCATTCTTACTTGAGATGGAGGAGTAAAATTTACCAAAGAAAATAAGAATTCATGCTATCTAAGTTCAGCAATAAATACTGATTGTTGAATGCTTTTGGAATGTGATTAGTTGCGTGATTTTGTACAATCAATAGATTTACTTGTGTCATGCTTTGGAATTAATCTTGTGTGACTCGTCGCATCCTTGGAAGACTTGTGTTTCTCTGGTGAGTTAGAGGCTTCTCTCCATGCTTTATGTGTGTGAGTGTACGCTTTTGTTTTGTGCAAACGTCTTCACCTTCTTGCCGGGTTGCGGCGGTCTTTCATATTGTGAGCCATATTGATGAGAGGTAAGATTTTAGATATTATATTCTAATTCAATCAGAGTTTTCCCCTGCTTCATTATTTCTTCTGAGATCCCTTTTTATTGGTAATGCTAATTTACAATGATTTGTGTGTTTGTCCAATATTCTTCTACTTTGAGATATTACTTACCAAAAACTCTTATTTTCTTTGGTTAAGTTTTAGCAGTATTTTGCAGCTATCCATAATGACTTTGCATCTTATGTTGTTCCTCTGATGACTGACTTAGTTTCTTATGTGTCCAAAAAGAAAGAAAGAAACAATGCCGGAGGGAATAACAGCTGAGAATCTTTTGAACAACATTGTGGAATCTCTTTCTGATGGTGGGCCGAAACATAAATCTGCATCATTCTTTCAAGAGGAAGGTGCTAGCTCTGTTAGTACTCAATTCAATAGGCTATTTGGACGTCAGAAACCAATACACCATTGTTTGGGTGGAGGCAAATGTACGGTACTTTTCTACATTCTTGCCTTTTTATCTCATAATGTCTGTATACTATAGCAATACTCAATTCGAGTCGGTGAATTTGTAGCTGCTGATGTGCTGTTGTGGAGAAACAAGAAAATCTCGGCCGGTGTTTTAGTCAGTGCTACAGCCATCTGGGTGCTATTTGAGTGGCTTAACTACAATTTTCTCTCACTTTTATGCTTTGCTCTGAGCATTGGTATGGTCGCTCAGTTTCTTTGGAAAAATGCTTCTGGGGTAATAAACAGGTAGTAATATAACCTATCCTTTGCGTTCTGAAGCAACGTCATTCTTTTCTTGTTTTCATTTGTCATTTAGTTTGGCATTCTTGAATCAAGTTAATGGAAGTTAAATTCTATGGCAACAGGTCGCATTCTAAGGTTCCTCGTCTTGTCTTACCTAATGACCTCTTCATCAATATTGCCACGGCAATAGGCGCTGAAATAAACCATGGTTTGGGCTTCCTTCAAGATATTGCATGCGGGGGTGATCTGAAACAATTCTTACTGGTATGTTAGATATCACTAATCATTATCTCTATGCTCAATTATTTTGAAACGGATAAGCTTAGAATAAGATGATGCTTCCGTATTTCAATTTCAAGAATTTCCGTTACAAAGTATCAAGTGCTTGATTTGAATTATGAGGCCTCTTTCATTTTTTTTTTAAGAATATTTTGTTTGCTTTAACTGTATCAAATCATGGCTCACAAGGCATCAGAAGGGTGACTAAGTAAGGTTTTGCTTCATAGGTTTGTGGTACCATTAGAAAATACTGTGGAGTGAAGACAATTTTTATACAAGTAAGAATTATGAGAAAAGATTCTTATAGTTATATTAAGGTGTGGTGGAGCCCCCTGTGTCACGGGAGGTGAGACTGGCATTTGACAATTAATTACTATAAAGGTTACAAATTATCTAAGTTGCTCCGACATGGCAGTTTAGGTGCCGCACCCGTGTCGACACGACACTAGTATGGGTGTGGGTATGGGATCCGTACCGGATCTGGTCAAACAATTTTGGGTACTTTGACCACGACGGACAAAAAAATTCGAGATGAGATACAATTTGATTACCGAAATCAGAACTAAAACTAGGGTAAATTTGAAGAAATAGCATATCTTATCTAGGAAATCAATCTTTTACTTATCTACAACTTGAGAATAAAAAGGAAATTCACACTTTACAAGCTATATGTAAGTATGCCACAAAATTTCTCATAAATTAGAGAGATTTTTATTTTTTAAAATTATTTTTAGCCGGATCCCCGCACCCGTATCCGTATTAGGATCCGTATCCCCGAATCTTAAAATTTACATCTTGAAAGATCCGACCTCTAGATCCACACCCGTGTCGGACACCCGCACCCGTGTCTGAGAAACTTAGCAAATTATTGACGGAAGTTTTCGAAGAAGGTCTATTACTTTTCTTTTTGCCCCTCTACCCTTCGCAACTTAAATACCAGAGTTCAAACCCGTGATGTGCGCCTAACCCACGTTTCACTCTCTGTGCTCGTACCACTAGACCAAAGCCTTGGGGTTAAGAAGGCCTTTTACTTTTCTCAACTCTCAAATGCGGCATAATATTTATAACATCCATTTTGGCCCCTCTAAACAACCTCAAAATGGAAGCAGTTAGCAATACTCTCTTCCATATATTCTGTGCACATGTTTCTTCCTCGAGAAGGATGGTAAAAGTTGCTTACGGAAGTAATCATTCCCCCACTTACTCTGTTAGTTTTGCTTTTGCTCAAGCATTTTCAGGTCTCCTTGTCCATTTGATCAGTGGCCTCCGGAAAATAATAGTACTGTACATATATTGTTTGTTAATGCAGTGCAAGGTGCTCTATCTGTTATTGTTTTATTTGATTAATTTTCCCTTTTCAGCTCAATTATGAGATGCCAAGGCTTCTGTCTTTGTTTGTTAAATATTCTTTGCTTGCTAACTTATTTTCACGACCTCTTCTGACATTGTTGAATAAGATCCATATGTGATGAGAAAATAGCAACTCTGGGATAGAGAATTAACCAAAAAGGAAAAGCAGATTAACTAATATGGAATGTCTATTAAACTTGCTGCATGTAAATTGTTGAAGTTGCTCTGGTCGCTCAATTTTGTTGCAGCCTTTTGACATTCAACCCGACACCTCCCCCTCCCAAAAGGCCGTTACCTAACCCGCCCTATCTTTTCTGTATTCATTTCCTTTCTTGTCATATCCCATCTTTTTCCCCTTGTTTTCGGTTACAGGATTCTTCTATATTGACATCTTCTCTCCTCCCTATGATGTCAAACTTGCAAACGTAAAAAGAATTTATGCTAACGATCTAATTAATCACTGAATCTTGTAGCTTGAGATTTCTATTACTGTAAAATACTGCTGCTGACTTTGAAGCTAATGTCTTCGGAGTTGTCCTAGGTTGTAGTGAGCTTGTGGGCTGCTGGTATCATAGGAAGCTGGTGCAACTTCTTGACTGTTCTATATATTGGTAAGAGATCTCTTATTTTCAATGATAACAATTTTAATCCTCATGTAGTATTGTTTATGCCTTTGAGTATCAAACAGGATTTTTTTTTCATTTTCCACCGATATAAAGCTGTCTAATGTATGAGTATTAGGGATGTCAATTTGAGCCCAAACTCATCCAACCCGCCCAGAGATTAATGGGTTGGGCTACAATATTTTAGCTCATGGGTCTAAATAGGTTGAGCCCAAGTTAACTCATTATTTTTTATAGCTCATTCTGAACCCGCAAAATATTTTTCAACTTACACATTTTAAATACTAATTTGTTATTTAAGAAAATATATTTTGATTCTCAAAATACTAATAGTATTTATGTATAAAAGGTAAAAGGCTTTGTTTATGCAAGATGAACATGGTTCTAAAACATGGATCAAGTTGGGCGGGTTGGGCTATGACCCATTGTTTAGCCCATCTTGACCCAACCCATCTTAGCCCAAGTACACTTTGGGCTGGGTTGAGCAATGACCAATTTATTGACCTAACCCATCTTGACCCGCGAGTATCAACAGAATCACTTCTAGATGCATTTAGCGGTGTCCTATGATATTACCTTATAGTTATTATCTAGCACATATAAATTCCAAAAAGTAGAAATGAGTCCTTTGACTAACTTTATTGTCTACCGGAAACAGCCTCTCTACTTTCTCTATGTAGGGATAAGGACTGCGTACACACTATGCTCCCCAGACCCCACATGTAGGATTTCACAGGGTTTTTTGTTGTTGTTATTGACTAACTTTATTGGCTGACTTTTGAATGTCTGTGTTAGTCTAACACAAACAAGATCATAAGTTTTAAAGTAGTTCTATTTGTAGTGATTAGTCGTATAATCGTACTCGCACGGTTGAAATTATGACAACTACTGCAAGACTCAATCCCAAGCAAGTTAGGTTTGGCTAGATGAATCCAAACCGACCATGTTACTCCATTTTAAGCTCATCTCAGTCCGACAATAAAAAAGAAATAGTACTAGAAGTTTTAAATTCTTTCTACTTCCATATAAATCTATGATAGGATTAAAAGACTCGTAGAAAACTTAGAACCTAAAATGATCGTACTAACATGATTATAACCTAATCCCAACTAGTTTGTATCGCCTTGTACAGTTGAAGTTGCATTTCCAAAATATTGGATGTGTTTAACCTACTTTCAGTCAAAAGTGAAGGAACTGGTTTTGGTCTATTCCGGTGATTGTATATTAGTCGCGTTTGATATGCTTATTTTGTTGCAAATATGAAAGGACGTTGTCGTCTTGACTCTACTTTTGAATTTTGACTTGTGTATAAGGTTTCATTGCTGCCCACACGCTTCCAGTGCTATATGAAAGATATGAAGATGAAGTTGATGGTTTTGTCTATAATGCCCTCGAACAGCTACGAGGCCATTACAAGAAGCTGGATTCTGGTGTCCTCAACAAAATACCAAGAGGCAACTTCAGGGGAAAGAAGCTTGACTAGATCATAACCTTAGTAAATGTAATCGATCGATCTAGTAGAATGCCAACTTGTATGCTCAGAATACGAAACTCATTATTCGTGACAACTTTAGTCGATCAAAAGAAAGAAGTGTATTGGACCTTTGCTCACCTTATGTAAATGTTGTTTGAAAATAAATTGAGTTTCTGCAGAAAGTTTAAATGGTACTCTTTTGAAGAACCTACATGTGTGTATTGTAACCAAAAAAGTCACACGTTTGTCCAAGTATTATAGGAGTAATATTATGTCCAATGTTGATGTCTCCTTCGTTTCCTCCTAGTGACTTTCTTTGATATTAGTATGCAGGTGTAATTGGAGCAAAGAGAGACATTCCATCACAAGTAATGAAAATCAAATTATATCAAGAATTGTGATGGATGGATATGATCTCTCCACCCTTAATCAGATATGTCGTGTTCGAGCTATGGAAATAAAAAATTATTGGTAGGGAGCGCTTCACTTTTTAATGGACCTTACACAGTACAAATTCAGATTAGTCAGGAACCAATGCGAATATCGCACACCACATGAGAAACTAAAAAATAACGAGAATCTTAGTTATATCCACTAGAATCTCTTTGTTCACATGGTCAAGAACTAGTTAATTGGTACCTAAATATGCATATATAGTTCTATTATTCTTATCACAAATACAATGTACATAAGCATAAGAAGAATGGCCTACTAGCTAGGGGTCTACTCTATACTCACATAATTAACAATAGAAAAAAAAAAAGGAATTAAGAGAGAGATAAATCTAGGTTAATGTGAGTGTTTTCCATAGTAGGGTCAAAATATTTATGATTATCCACAGGCCAAAAATTTATCTCCTTTTCACAGTATTGTTCTTCCTCCTTTGTCATTCCACTACTTATACTTCCTTCTGCTTCCTGTAAATCACCAAAAGAAAAAAGAATTTTAAATATGTATAACATTCACATTTTCTCGATCAGGCTAAAGTAAAGAGTTCAATTTATAAGTTCTATGTAATAATGGTGTAAAAAATATTACAAAAATCAGGTAACTTATTAGTATTTAATTACAAGTAAAGTTCTATAATAAATATTAATAGGTAACCTGATAAAAATAATAACTAATCTGCTATTGGCGGTTCAATTTTACTAGGAGTGTAGTGTATATATATAACTTAACTTCAAAAATAAAGCACAAATTATGAAGACCATTTTACCTGGAAGTCATTGTAATGAATATTTTCACCATTGTTTTCAGATGAATTTCTTTCTTTGCAACAGAATTGGCTTCCAGATTCATTCTGCTTTCTACTCGATCTTTTAGACACAAGCCTGAAGGATGTACGGATAAGGTTAAATGTCTTTAGTATATGTAACTGTGACTAGTAAGCAGTAATAGATGATACACAGTAGTACAGTTAAATCTTTGGAATTTTTTCACTTTTAGCCCGCGCCAAAACTATTTAAATTCTGTAGCCGAAAAAGTGTATAAAATTTGTATAATTTTTGTATATAACATAAAGAATGTATATATATATAGTGTCATTTTTCCTTAAACCTTTCTATAACAACCTCGTTGCGATTATAATAAAGTGTTGTTACAGAAAACATATATTATAACATATTTCACATAAATCAACCGTTATGATAAAGTGTTATTAGAAAGGATGGTTATTATAGAGAAATGTGATTGTAGTTTATTCAATCAAAGCAAGTGTTGTTATCAGAAGTAGTTAAAATAAAGTATATGTTAGACCTATTATGTATATTAGACTTGAGGGGAACTAATTAAAACATCCTGAAAAGTTCCGTTATGTAATATGATGCATAAGTAATAATAATAAAATTATCTTTTGAAGCTAAAAAAAATGTGTAAGAGTAAGACTTACAGTGTCGAAGACAAATTGAAATCTGGCATCACAACATGGAGGCTGGGGTGCTCCTTCATGTTTCTATACATCTGATTTCAAAAATTCNATATATATATATATATATATATTATTGTTATTACTTTTAAGAGTGGTTATACTGTGTAGTTTTTCCTATCAATAACTTGTAATCTCTCATAAAACTAATAACACGTAATATCTTTTGAGCAATACAAAATTCATAAGAAACAAACTAAATTCCTGACAAAAAACCACAGGTTCACATACACCAAACAAATTAACTTAGTACTAACTATTTATTTATACATTTATTAGTCAGTTTCCAGGCCCTTTAAGATAAATTAATATTGTGAATGATTAAAGATAGAAAAGAAAAATAGAGCTAATTAAAAAAGGGTATATATGGATATTCAGAACAGTTTGCAAGAATTTGGATTTCGAGTTTTTCATCAATTATTATTCCACAATTTTATAACTCTAGGACTAACATCTAGCTGCATGCCCAACCTAGCTAGTTATTTATTTCATTTAAACATCATGCGCAAATTTTTTACTAATTTAGATTTGAAGTTTATGCATTCTTACATATAAGATGTATGTATCCTAACTTCAATGTTCAAATGTTAGCACCTTAAACATTCCACCTCTCATAATCCATAATAGTTTTAGGATACCAAAACTTATCTAGAAAATCCCCATGTAACCGAAGAGTCATATCAATTTTGTTAATGACTCATTATTTCTAATATTGGGAGGTGTAGTTTCAAAAACTAAAATAATAACGCAATTACACTAAATGAAAAAAATAAAATGAATAAGAAATAAAATATACGAGCAATTGCATGAGATCATAAGAAGTAAAGGTAGAGAAATAAAAGATAAATAATGTACAAAAAAATATATTTTAAAATTTAAAAAGAAATTAAAAAGTAAAAGTAAAATAAAAATAAATTAAAACAATGAAAATAAAAGAAAATAAATTAAAATAAAAATAAAAAGGAAAAAAATTTAAAAGTAACCTTATAATTACACAGTGTAATTACCATCAATTCTCACCTCCCTCTTGAGTATTGAAGAGTGTAATTACACCTCTCCAATTACACCCAATTTCATGCTGACCAAGTAATTGCTTGACGAGACAAACATGCCAAATTGTGTAATTACACCCAAATCGAATTCCTAGGTGGCTTTCCAAACATGCTCTAAATGATACTGAACTTTAATTTGATGGGTGAAATCTTAAGGTTATTATTATTGAATTTATTATACTTTTAAAATTATGAGTTCAAAATTTAATATTTATTAAAATTCTAGTAAATTTTAACATATATCTATATTCGTGTCAAAAACGTCATGAGCTAGTACTTACACTCTCCTACCGTCATGCATACAACAATAACAATAACAACAACAACAACAACAAACAACCTAGTGAGATCCCACAAGTGGGGTCTGGGGAGGGTAGTGTGTACGCAAACCTTACCCCTACTCTAGAGGAGTAGAGAGGTTGTTTCCGGTAGACCCTCGACACAAGAAGGAAAGAGACAGTGTATCAGTAACAGCAACGGAATCTAGAAAGATAAAACCAGCAACACAATAACCAGAAAATAGAGAGCAAAGTAGTAACACTAAGCAGTAACAAAGGCACAGTACTACAGACGCAAGGGAATAATATGTACACAAAGGGTCACTAAACATACTACAGCCTAACTTACGACTCTAATGAAGTATTAAGGACATAACTGGAGCCACCAGCAGCCTAAAACAAAACACTATCATACTAGCCTCATATCTCCTAACCTACAACCCTAATGCTCGACCTCTATAACTTCCTATCAAGGGCCATGTTCTCGGAAATCTGCATCCGCATCATGTCCTGCCTGATCACTTCTCCCCAATATTTCTTAGGTCGCCCTCCACCTCTTCTCATACCCATCAAGGCCAGCCGTTCACACCTCCTTACCAGTGCATCCAGGCTTCTCCTCTTCACGTGCCCGAACCATCTAAGCCTAGCTTCCTGCATCTTGTCTTCTATGGGAGCCACGCCCATTTTTATCCGAATATCTTCATTCCTAATCTTATCTACCTTAGTGTGTCCGCACATCCATCTCAGCATCCTCATCTCTACAACTTTCATCTTCTGGGTATGAGAATTTTTGACTGGCCAACACTCTGCCCCATACATCATGGCCGACCTAACCACCGCTCTATAGAACTTTCCTTTAAGTTCCGGAGGCACCTTCCTGTCACACAGGATACTAGACGCTAGCCTCTATTTCATCCACCCCACTCCTATACAGTGCGTGAAATCCTCGTCAATATCCCCATCCCCCTGAATAATCGACCCCAGGTACTTGAAGCTCCCTTTCTTGGGGATGACTTGAGAGTCAAGCCTCACGTCCATGTCGGCTTCACCCGGCACACCGCTAAACTTGAACACCACATATTCAGTCTTAGTCCTGCTCAGCTTGAATCCTTTAGACTCAGTGGTCCGTCTCCAAACCTCCAATATCTCGTTAACACTGCCTCGCATCTCATCAATCAGAACTATATCATCAGCGAATAACATACACCATGGCACCCACCGCCATGCATATAGTTCAATAATTAACGACATCAGCGAGTTGCGGTAAATTGTGCTATTAAAATAGATATAGATTTTTATTCTTCAATTCTCTTACAAAACTTGGATGTATCCTTATTAAACTTGAAATGCCTAAACCAAACTGATAGTTACGGGATGATATCCTGTAATAGCATCGTAACGAAGACCAGATCCTTGCTTTAACAATGTCAGCCTTTGTATATTTATTTCAATCAACAATTTCACCAACAAATTTTTGGAGGTATCAGTAAGTTGAGGTCAATTTTATTCACGAGGCACTTTTCATAATGATATCAATTCAGATCATTATATCTTGATAATAGTGGATTGAATTTCAATTTTCAGTTTTCTTCTTTGCGTATGAATTAGATTAAGGGTTATAGTTACTTTTTCAATTCAAGTAAGAAAAGTTATATAAGTAAAGCTTATTCTATTTTAAATTCTTGATTAAATGTCAGGAGTTACCACAGAAAATACTTAATATTCAAAATTTTAGTTAGCTTCAAAGTTCTATATATTAAGATTCTAATTAAATAAACAATTTATCTAATGTGTAATACATTTTTAAAGAGTAAAATATTCTCGTATACGCGCATAAATCTAGCATAAGTTACTACAAAATTTGTACCCAACAATATTAAAATTTTAACCAATACATATCCTAAAGAATTATTGAGTTAAGAAATAGAAACTAAAGAAAATTGTTGAGTTAAGAATACAAATTTAAGGGTACGAAATCTTATCTAAAATATAATATTATAATATATCTATTTTAGTTATCTAATTGAGAACACAATGATTTGATATCTTTTAAATCTCAAAGGATGAATGAAACTGCCGAAACATTAAAAAAGTTAGAACGGAAGGATTGATGTACGGAAAGGATTTATATAAGGTTAAGATTTAATCAATTTTAAAGTTCTAAATATTAGACTTCCAAAATAATAGTTCAAATAAGAAAAGATTTAGTAAGCATATTTTTAATTGATTTTAAAGTTCTAAATATTAGAAAAATAATTAAATGACAATTTGGTCCAATATAAAATCTATTTTCAAAGGGTAAAAAAAGCGAACGACATTTCATTAAAGACTTTCGTGCTTTTAATATAGTATAGATATAGATATAGATAATTTGACTGATTTATTCTTATTAATTCTTTAATCTTTGACCGTATTAATCTTTTTAATAAATAAGGAAACTTTATTTAGGTGTTTCTTTATCTATCCATTTAAATTTGACCAATAGTTTTTGGAAAATGCATACTTAATGATAAGTAATCAACTCTTTTTATATACTTTCTAGAACAACTACATAAGGTGGAAGTTGAACAAAATAATTAATTCTTTTATGATCTTTTAAATTTATACGTATTTATTGGAATAACTATTTTTAGTAAACATAACGACTAAAGTGGAATGAAGGGAGTAGTATTATCTTTTTAATTAGCCCGTTCAAAAACGACTGATAGCTTTCCAAATTTAAAATTTAAACTTTCCATTTATCTTTAAGATACATTTTTAAAGCTGCACAAATATTTTGACATATTTAAAAAATAAATTTTAAAAATATTAATTTTGTATATGTTCAAACGCAACTATACTATATCAATTGAATCAGAGGGAGTAATAATTAAGGTATCATTTTCCATGTGCCACAATAGGCCCCCAAGAGTCTTAAGAAATTAAATTAGAAATTCTATTAAAACAGGATTTAACTTATTTACTACACTATAATCAGAGAAAACTAGTGAAATTAAGAGGAAAACTTCCTAGATTTAGCACAATTCCAGTCTTTCGTAGAACTCGTCTATTCTATTTTTTATAAAAAGACCTAATCTATTTGATGAAAAAAAGAAGAAGAAGAATGTTTAGAGATCATACTGATCATTTTCAAGGGAAAAATGATTCTGCTATAAAAAAAAACACAGCTTTTCACTCATTATATATTTTATTTTCTTTTTTGTTTTTCTGGTGAAGTTCAATTTCCAAGTTAAAAATTGTTCTGGAAACTTTCTATCCAAGAATTATATGGATATGATCATAAACATTAACTAGCTAGATTACTCTGTCCGATCCCTTTTTATTTTGGTCCAAAATAAGTGTCATTTTATATAATCAAGAAAGGAATTAATTTTATTTTTCCAAAATTTGCCCTTATTTAATTACATATCTCAATGTGTCAAGGTAACAATTAATTAAGGATAATATAGTAAACACATCTTTTTTCTCTAGGAGTTTGTATTTTTCTTAATGGGTGTGCCAAAAACTAAAAAGTCACTTATTATGTACCGGAGAGAGTAATTAATAATTTAGATAGTGGGTGCAGCCTGCTGCATAAGGTATCCCAGTTCACACAGGGTCCGGAGAAGAGCCCGCCCCAATAAGTGTGATATAGACAACCTAACATAATGCAATCATTAATAACTGCTTCCATGACTCGAACTCGTAACCTATAGATCACACGTAGATAACTGTACCGTCGCTTAAAGGTTTCCCTTCTACTTAGACAGTGGGTGCAGTAAAACAATACCTGGAGATGGCTCTTAACATGAGAAATCTTCAATCCCTTTATGGCCATCATCTGCAGAACTCTCTTTGGAGTTGCTTCTGTCAAAATACAATGAAACAATCATCATTCCTTTATCCTCTTATCAAAGTTCAAATACTTCTAGTAGATCATATTAACTCGAGCTATTAATATATATCATTAATTACATAAGCCTTAACGTAGTCTCAACCCTAGATGCGAATCTAGGGCGAATTCTACGTGTTCAATTTTCAGCCCGATCGAACTGTGCCTACACAATATACAAAATTCAAGATGTATACGTATAATAAGATCATACTTTATATTATGAAACCTCGACTCATATCTTGAATTCGCCTCCATTTAATCAGCCCCCAACCCACTAGTGGCGGATGTAGTATATAGTCTACGAGTTCAACCAAACCTAGTAATTTTAACAGAGAATATCGATATACATGTGAAAAATCACTAAAATTTCAGAAAAAGACATTAAAATTTGGACCAGTAACTTTAAAAGTGTAATGAGTTTAAACATAAAGGTTTAACTCATCAAATTCAAATCCGGATCTTTTTTCGGATTTTTCAAAAACCCAGGAGAGAACACCAAAAGAATGAATCAGAAAGAGGAAAAAGATAAACCACGAACAATAAAATGGAAAAGAAAAGATCCATGATCTTAGGCTGCATCTTAGGGCAACCAAATGATACTTTTTCTTTATCTTAGGGAAAAGAAAACCATGAATATTGAAATTAAATACTACACAAATTTCATAGAATTTCTTTTCTTGTTATAGCTACTTTCTATATATTTTAATCTTTTATTCAGAAACTTACTGTTTCTTCCACCAAGGCTTTCAACAGATTGAATGAAGAGCTCATGAAGTTGTGGAGTCCATCTTAGACGTGGAGCTAAAGATTTCTTGTATTTTCTGATATCTCTCATTTTTTTAGAGCTAATTCTTCTCATTTCTGGTGCATTATATGACATTTTTAGAGTTTGCCTAACTTGAGCATATATGTATACAATGGTTCCTAACTATAAAAATAAAGAACAAAAATACAGATAGTTAGGAGTCTGAGATTATGGACTTTTCTTGGTCTGTTTGGACTTTAGGAAACATCCTCCAATTCCTCGGCATTTCCTCATTATTTCCAAAAAGACAAAAAAACGCAAAAGAAGAAGAAGAGAGAACTTAAAGCCCTAGACTGGAAAGAAATTTTCTTGGTATAGTGACTTTGGCAAATGGGCATTTACCGATTTAAGACTTGTAAATACAACCCACTTAAACCCTATTTGCTTATTTTTGGTTTTTCCTTTTTAGTTGAAGTTATATGCATTGACGAGCAGGGAGAGAGTCAGGATTTGAAATTTATGGGTTCAGAATTTGCAACGGAACCCATAACTCATCTTAGTTATTGGGTCCGCAATTAAATTTTTATACATATTTAATGAATTTTCTAGTACAAATACAATATTTTAACAAAAGTGACTGGGTCCGAACCTCCACACCTAATAGGCTAGCCCCGCTATGTTGACGGAGTGTGAAATTTTTATATGTCCGATTAAGTTGACATACAACAACAAGCAACCTTTTATATCAGACCTGATATGGTAACTTCAGAATTAGAGTAATAACCTGCTATACTTGGTTAAGTTGCACTAATAGTACAAGATTAAGTTTTTTAACTGTCAGTGTATATAACTGAAATTACTTTATCGTACAATTTTTTTTTTATAATGTGGCCTAATTTTCTTGATGTCATAAAGAAATGGAGGCAAAGGAATCTCAGAAATATCTAATTTAACCTTAAGGCTTAACATATACATTTAAGTCGGGAAGCTTGATCATCTTTGAAATTTTCAATTCAAAGAAGTAGTCTTGATTTCAATCGTCATACGAAAGTGTTTGTGTGATTTTATTCATCACTTTAACTTTGGTAAAACAGCGTGCTAATTTTAATGCGAGAATTAAAATGACAATAATTCTAGTTGGGATCCAAAACTATACTAACTACTTGAAATATGGAGTATTTAAGGATATTGCTTTTAGTCCAATTGGTGTAAGGAATTATATATAGGTGAAAACTGAAAACTTAACAACAACAATAACAACAATTCGGGTTAAGCACTAATAGTTAAAAGTGAAGGATGCTTATCACCAAAGCAACTCTCTCGAAAACTCAAAACTTAAAGGAGTGAAACTATAGTTAATATACGTTTGATGCCTTAAAAAGCATGATGATTAATAAATGATTACATATAGACCACTGCCTTTGAGAACCTAGGAACACTTAGTGTGTCACCTAATTTTCTAAGAAAAAGATAAGAAAAAGATTTTTAAACTATCGATACTTATACGAGAATTGTTCATAATAAGCAAGCTAATTAATTGGAAAGTAAAACCTGTTTGCTATAATAAGTTTTAATAAGTGAATTAGTTACTTGAGAAAGAATTTAAATTATATACCGTCTGGTGTAATTTTTTTAATCCAAAGGATATTTATATGCAAGTCTCCTTAAAATATGAGATTGTAATAGGAATAGTAAATAAGACAACTTAATGACATGCTAGATGATGTAAATGTAATTTCCCGGTGTGAAAAATCCTTATACTACCTGAGTATATAATTTAAACTCCTTAAAAACATAAGTTATGTAGCGTGTTAGCTATAACAAGTTAAATTATACTGAAAGTGTTAATTATTTTTATATTTTCATTATATAATATTAGATTAAAAATTATGCAAAGTCAAACGTTTGAACCAAGAAAAGGTATGTTTTCTTTCTCTTCCTTTAATATAACCTAAACTCTCAAATTTTCATGTCAAAAAAAGGCGGTGCCTACTTTTGGACCCCACTTCTCTTCTGCCGTTTTATTTTTTTCAACAGTTTGCCAAATTCGACGTGCATGGAAAAACCAAAAAGTTAGCCCTAGAATTTCATGAAAGCAACATATCTTTCTTTGCCGAGAAGCGGCATCAGGATTTAGAGTTTATTCGTTCGAAATAATTATCCTTTTAAATTGTTGAATTTAAACTTAATAGTCTATATATGTTTAATAATTTTTTAAAAATATATAAAATGTGTGATTTAAAATTATTAGATTTAACCAAATTAGTAACTCATATTCTAACTCTGCATCTGTTCAAAGAAAGAAAAGAATTAAAAAATGAAGTTCACTTCTTAGTGCATCGTCGTCTAAACCTATAAAGGAAATTTAGTAGCTAGGCTGTCAGGCGCCAACACAAACTTACATTGCGTTTCACATTTGGTTTCTCTTTAGCTTCGGAAAAGGAAGAAAAAATACTAACAAATTCCCTTATCTTGTCATTGTTTTGATTGATGAAAAAGACGGTTTCAAATTTGTGGTTGTTTTCCGATAGGCATATTCATCGTTTGGTACATTAATGTTGAATTATGTGATCATATTATTTAAAAGTTTAAACAATTAAAGAGAACACATTATTATTTACTTAATTATATTTTTTTAACGTCTCTGCATGTGCGTACTTGATTTATATATTTTGATGCGCGCAGCGCATATAAATTCTTTTGATAAAGCGTGACGGTATTTATAACCTCTCCCTACTCCAATACAATATTAAAGTACGTGATCATCTTATCAATTTGGTAATTCGGTTTATGACTAGACCAATTTTGAGTTGGGACCTTGCACACAAACCATTCTAAATAATTAGGACTTCGTTTAATTATATCTGTATTTTATTGACTGGATAACTTGGGACTTTTTAAAAAAAAAGCGGCTTTCTCTAATAGGTAATAGGGTGACTTAACTTAAATCTATTCTTGTCGTTAATTACTGCTTTTGACCATTCATTAGTTGCTAGAAAATGAAAATAATATAAGAAGAAATTTATAAATTAGGTTATAAGAGCTTTGGCCGGTGAAAAGATATCATCGTACCTAAAATACATGTGATTGTTTATAGTGGCATACTAGGTATAAAAATGCAACAATATTACAACGACATCAAATGTTTTGTTGTACTGGAATTGAATAATTCTTTCAAAAAGACTGTAAAAGTTGCAAATTAGAAAAATAAGTCAAAAGAAGTTGGCATAATCTAACAACTTTAAATGTGAATGTATCTTTATTATAAAATATACCGCATTTGTATCTTTTCTATTTTCAAACCCTTTCTTTAATGAACTTACGTAGAAATCCCATGCAAGTAAACCCAAGAATTGTCCCAAATAAGAAAAATGAAATAAAAAATATGCTTACTGAAAAACAAAGTAGAGCGGAAAAAGCAGTGAAATGTAGGGGCTTGAAACCTTCATTCCAAACTGAAAGACAAGGGAANATATATATATATAGGAAAAGTACCATCTATCGGTACCTGCTGTAACTCTATCTACTCGGATTAAATAGATTTAAAAAATTTACCTAGTAATTTTTATCTGCTTATACCATAATCTCTCATTATTTTAATCTGTAATTAAATTGACGTAGATTGGATTAAGACGAAGGTGTTTTATTTGTGCATTTATAATATCCGAAATAAAAGTCGTCTCTCTTCTGTTCGGAGCAGTAATCATTTTCTTTTTCAGTATAAAAGAAAGGTGGAGTAAGTCAGTAACTATCCGATGATACGTTCTTAAAGGTATAAAGTTAAGCGAATTTTACTATAGTGCATTTTAATTACTCATCTTTTCATAACCCTTATCCTTATTGCTGACAGATTGGTCCCCATTTTGAAAGCAAGATGAGGCTACATTTTTTCTACCATTCCACATATTCAAATATTTATGAATGACCTCTTTAGTCTTTTTTCAAGCTTAAGAAATTCAAATTCTTTAATTGTGATGAACCCGAGTTTAATTTAATAATACGATGCATTCATTAATAATCAATATTTTTGTGACCTTTGAGCTGCCATTTATACCTATTTCACACAATAGCCTCTCAATATAATGTATCCACTTCAATTAGGCAAATATAGCATAGCTAGGTTACGTAGTTCTTCTAATACTAACCAGTCGTCGACATGTCATGTGAAAAAAATTGTGAAAAAAGTCAAATTTGCAGCTCAATTAATATCTTTTATCTGAACTAATTAAATAATGGGTGGATTTAAAGATTTATTTTTTATTTCCCGTGACTTTTCCACAATTAACTATCAAAGTCCACAAACCATAAAAGGAAAAATAAATAAAAGACTTGGATAGAAATTTTCAGTTTAATTTCTGAAAGTGGGGGCCAAAGCGGCTATGTCAATATTACCTCTCTTAACATAATAAGTTGTGCCGAGAGGCTTTCGGAAATAACCTCTTTACCCTCCGGGTTAAGGGTAAGGTTTGCGTACACTTTATCCTCCACAGTCCTCACTTGTGAGATTTTACTGAGTTATTGTTATTATTAATTGTTATTGTTGTAACATAATAAGTTGTGCGGAAATTGAATAATTAAGAGAGTATAAAGATTACAAATTAAAAAAATAAGTCAAAGAAGTTTTCATAAAACTACAACTATATATAGGACAAAACGCAAGAAATTATCCCATAAAAATGAATAACGAAAATAGTAAAGAAAAGGCTTGATTACTTTCATTTTCCTATGTATTTTCCAACATAAAGTAAATGCGGGTGGAATTAGGTAGAAGTAGAATGGGAATGGCAGTGCAAGTTGCATTTTTCATTCCAAACTGAAAATGACAAGGAAAAACAGACCCCTGCAAGTGAGCAGAAAAGGGAGGAGGAAAGCGGCTCCGGTGAACCGTCATAATTAGTAAACAAGTATAAGCACCATTGTCCAACAATATGGAAGTACTGACCAGACCGAGGGGCGGGAACGAGTGAAATCAATATGTTCCAATTTCTTGTCTTGCACCGACCATCCAATGGACCATGGACTAAACAACCACTGTCTGAAAGGATTATGCTCAGGAGACCGCCGTGTCCGTCCGTTCCCCCTCC